TGATGCATTGCTATCTATAATGGGAGAAGAAACTGCAGAAGCCTGACAATTCCCAGAGCTTTACTCTATGAGCAAAGTATGAGGTGACTGTGCTGGGTGCGTCAAAGCAAATGGCATCCACCATAGAGAATTGCATTTGATTAATTGGTACATCGGAAAAATTGAAAATTGAACTTAGACACACGGGCATTACATCTATTCAACATAGACCCATCTGTGCATGGTGATTCTCTAATGCTCATTCCATCTGATGAACTCTACATTCCATAGAAGAAACTTGCTAAAGACTCAACAATAAGATGTGAATGAACCATTAAGAAACAAACCAGCCTTGCAAAGAAAAGGATTGGCTGGGAGAGGCTATTTATCTTACAGAAAAAGGGTTCTCTAATTCCCTCCACCTTACAGCAGGCGACAACCAAGCAATTCTTTGTGGACATGGAGAGGACAGAGTGTACCACAGACAGCACAAATTTATCTGGTCTTCCTCTCCAACAGCCTGTTTCCTTCTCTCTGGGACTGTGCTGGTGGCTTCAGGGTGTGTTCCCCATAGACACTACAACAGAGATTCTGAACCTTGAAGAATACACTGTTGGGTTCTTTTTAGACATCGAAAACTTCTAATCAATCTTAAAAACAGACTTTATCTTCTTTATGTCCTCACAATCCAAAAAGAGCTTACTTCTTTCTGTAGTTTATGTTGTGAAAAGTATAAATAAACTTCTTTTGCATTTGCCAGCTATTCAATTTTATTTTTAAATGAGTGGGCTTTAAATACTATGTATATTCTTGCTTTGGTAAATCCTTCTTGATTTGCTTAAAGAAAACTATAATGGGATTTTAATTTGTGTCCTGAGCGTATGTGAACTACAATGGGATAAGGCAGCACAGCCATTCCAGTGTTCCCATCCCAAAGCACCACTCGGAGATGCGCACTGTGAATGGTGCTGCGCAAATGCTCAGCCTCTAAGGAGGAAGGTGACCAGGAGCCATCGTATGCAGCAGTGGCCCTGGCCCATGTTTCACGTTTTCCCATAGATGTGAGGCTTTCTGCCACTTAGCTGGAATCATGTTCTGCTACAGTGGGAATAAAATATAA